AGAACAGCTGTGGTTCCTTAGATTTCATGTGAAATTTGAGGTGCTAGAACAATTTCTAAAATAATTTCAATTGGAGGGGTTTTTAGTGGTGGTATGTTTCCATGCTGACATTCCTTTGAGAAAACGAAGGGAAATAATCTTCTAGGCTTTTATTTATCATTCAAAGCTCTAGTCTGAAAAAGTGGGGAGGTCTTGGTTGGTTGTTTTTTTTGAAGGTAAGTAAAAATTGTATGTGGTTTCTCGGGTGAGGCTAGTAATAAAAGTTTATCATTAACCAGGCTATGACTGCAAAGTTGTCTCTTCACCTCCTTTAATTTTTTAAGTACTTGAGTTAAAGAAAACCCCTCAGGATTGAGAGAACTTTGTATAAATAACGTAAAGCCAAGTGACTTTGGAAGTTCATGAAATTAAGGGAGGATTTCTAACTACTTAAATGACTGCAATAACTGTTGGTGGTTAATAGAAAGATAAAATGAAGGCTGGTGTGCAGAGGACACGATTATTGGCCCCTCTAGATTTTTTTTTTTCTTATATGAGGAAGAATAATGACAGCTTGGCAGTAAGCTCAGATGCTTATTATATGATACCTGAGTAGTTGTTTCCCTAAATTTTGAACTTTAGTAAGGCAGGTAAGAGTGACTTGCAGTCATCTAATGAGACAACTGTTTCATATTTTATATAAAAGAAATGTCACGTGTACCCTCATGAATGTCTCACTGTTTCCTTATGTTGCTGTAAAAGCTCTAAAGTGTTAATTGTAAGCATTAGCCACTGGATCACTTCTTGTGTGGGGAATGGGGTGAGATTAAACATGTTTTTGGAAAGCCACTGAGTATCTGATGGCTGATAATATTTGCCAGCTTGCCTTAGACTTTTAGTGCTCAGAATTTTGAATTTGCTAGGGTGCTGGCTTCAGCGCTAGTAATCCGAGAGCTATTTATGTGTAAATGTAGAAATACCATGTAATACCTGCAATTCAGGTATTACATTGCCGTTTAATTTCCTTGAATGCCTACAAATACTTCTTCAGTCAATGCATTTCACCGTAAGTCAGTTTTTTATCTTATTATCTTAAATGATAAATACTGCACGAAACTTCCACTGATGTTTTCCATTTGAAAAACAGGAGGATGAGCCTGTCCTGGGTGAGTTCAGCATATACATGGTAGTGATCTGAGGTACTGTCTTGGGCTTCCTGCCAACTTTTAGTAGATCCTTTTGAGAGGCAGTCTTCCTTGTTGTGGTCTCCGGTCGTCTGTGGTGATTTTGGTGGCCCGGGGTGGCATAGAGGGGACAGGAAAGGGTGTTGTCACCAGCTTGGCTGGTCCTCCTGCCAGGATTCTTGGAGAAATGGTTTTTTCCTAACGTATGCAAAAAATAAGCAGTTTGTAGTGAAACTCCCAAGAAAGCTGTATCTCTGAGCAATGGAGTTATTAGCTGTGTGGCTTATTCCTGATTTGTGGGTTGTGTTGATCCTGTGCTTTGATATTTGCTTGGGGGGGGAGATTGTGCTCACACTTGTTTTGGAGTGTGCTGGTGGACTAAATTGTGCATCAGAAGACCGGGTGGAGGCTGGTGTGTGAATTAATAACACGTGTTTCAGAGCCTGTGCTGTGCCACTTCACTCCTGGGGGCGTGCGTAAAAGCTGGGCTGTTTTCAGAGTTACAGTACTTCACACTTATTTCAGTCGTGTCGTTGAAGAAACCGTTATTTGAATCCTGAACTGGAAAATGGTAATGCTTTGTGCTTCAGTTGTCCGTGTTGGGAGTGTTAGTGCTAACAGATGTGGGGTGCTGCTTCCATCCGTCGCTGCTTATGCTTTTCTCTGTTGAACAGGGGACAAGTACATGGTAGACCTGATGCAGACACACGCACACGCTTCAGTATAGATTAGAGATGAAATTTGTTAGGTAACAAGGTGCAATCCATAATCTCTCCCTTTAAAAAATATAACTTAAGAAAAAAACATGTTTTTCATTTAACTCTGTCCCAAAATGAGAGAATAAAGGAGAGTAGTGGGGTTTTTGAGTTACGGCGCTGTCTTGGTTTGCACAGCTGCCTGGGTTCTGTACAGATAGATTAACACAAGCTTAGAAGTTTTCATTTATAGACATTCAGAAGTGAATGCTTCCAAAGTTCTTGCTGAATTTAGAACAGCTGTGGTTCCTTAGATTTCATGTGAAATTTGAGGTGCTAGAACAATTTCTAAAATAATTTCAATTGGAGGGGTTTTTAGTGGTGGTATGTTTCCATGCTGACATTCCTTTGAGAAAACGAAGGGAAATAATCTTCTAGGCTTTTATTTATCATTCAAAGCTCTAGTCTGAAAAAGTGGGGAGGTCTTGGTTGGTTGTTTTTTTTGAAGGTAAGTAAAAATTGTATGTGGTTTCTCGGGTGAGGCTAGTAATAAAAGTTTATCATTAACCAGGCTATGACTGCAAAGTTGTCTCTTCACCTCCTTTAATTTTTTAAGTACTTGAGTTAAAGAAAACCCCTCAGGATTGAGAGAACTTTGTATAAATAACGTAAAGCCAAGTGACTTTGGAAGTTCATGAAATTAAGGGAGGATTTCTAACTACTTAAATGACTGCAATAACTGTTGGTGGTTAATAGAAAGATAAAATGAAGGCTGGTGTGCAGAGGACACGATTATTGGCCCCTCTAGATTTTTTTTTTTCTTATATGAGGAAGAATAATGACAGCTTGGCAGTAAGCTCAGATGCTTATTATATGATACCTGAGTAGTTGTTTCCCTAAATTTTGAACTTTAGTAAGGCAGGTAAGAGTGACTTGCAGTCATCTAATGAGACAACTGTTTCATATTTTATATAAAAGAAATGTCACGTGTACCCTCATGAATGTCTCACTGTTTCCTTATGTTGCTGTAAAAGCTCTAAAGTGTTAATTGTAAGCATTAGCCACTGGATCACTTCTTGTGTGGGGAATGGGGTGAGATTAAACATGTTTTTGGAAAGCCACTGAGTATCTGATGGCTGATAATATTTGCCAGCTTGCCTTAGACTTTTAGTGCTCAGAATTTTGAATTTGCTAGGGTGCTGGCTTCAGCGCTAGTAATCCGAGAGCTATTTATGTGTAAATGTAGAAATACCATGTAATACCTGCAATTCAGGTATTACATTGCCGTTTAATTTCCTTGAATGCCTACAAATACTTCTTCAGTCAATGCATTTCACCGTAAGTCAGTTTTTTATCTTATTATCTTAAATGATAAATACTGCACGAAACTTCCACTGATGTTTTCCATTTGAAAAACAGGAGGATGAGCCTGTCCTGGGTGAGTTCAGCATATACATGGTAGTGATCTGAGGTACTGTCTTGGGCTTCCTGCCAACTTTTAGTAGATCCTTTTGAGAGGCAGTCTTCCTTGTTGTGGTCTCCGGTCGTCTGTGGTGATTTTGGTGGCCCGGGGTGGCATAGAGGGGACAGGAAAGGGTGTTGTCACCAGCTTGGCTGGTCCTCCTGCCAGGATTCTTGGAGAAATGGTTTTTTCCTAACGTATGCAAAAAATAAGCAGTTTGTAGTGAAACTCCCAAGAAAGCTGTATCTCTGAGCAATGGAGTTATTGGCTGTGTGGCTTATTCCTTATGTTTTGGATTTTCTTTTTTTTTTTTTAAGTTGGCAGTGGTATCAGGAGGACAATTTGCATGCAGAATTGCACGAAAATCTGACTTTCCAAGTGATCATCTACTATTAGGGTAATAAATAGGAGTATTGTTGGCCTCTTTTAAGGTTAGAAGTTGTTTTCCTATATATCTTGCAAAGAAATATAAGGAACAAAAGGGTTCAATAGGAAAAGGATGTAGCTGTAAGAATGCATGCTTACTTACATCAGAATAACAGATCAGTCACCACTGAAATGCCACATTTATAGAAAAGGAGAATTTACTTTTTTTTGATTAGGCAGTTGCTTTCTCCTCCTTTCACAATTTAAAGGGAAAGTTTCCTTTTTGTCTCGATTTTAATGACCTCATTCCTTCATATGAAATCCTTCTAAATGAAAGCCTTGTTTTCTCGTAGACTTGTATTTAACAGAACACATTCATGGAGAGGAATAATTGCACTTAGCTTGCAAATTCACCACCAGTAGTTTGTAGGAAACAAATATCATGTAAAAGTGTTTCCATGCACTAATTGTTTCCATAGTACAAACCGCTAAACAAAGCTTTACTACTGAAAAGGTATTAATTTAAAAAACCCCAAAAAACCCAAAAAACAAAAAACCCCAACATTGTTCACAGCTAAAATCATTCTTTCTTCTGTAGTTGTGTGATATTATTGGGTCTTCTTGTTGTAATAAGCATTGTCTTGATTAGTGGTACTTCTATGAGAAGACATGCTGTTAACAATTCTTGCCGTTTATTCTCTTAATTCTGGGTGGAATCATCTATCTTTCCTTGACCAAATCAGTTTCAACAAAGAGCAAACAGATGAAGTTTAAGAGTGTTTTGCAAGTGTCAGGTTTAGAAAACATTATGGGTTTTTTTTTTTCTTTTTAAAAAATAAATGTATTTCAAATTTTAGACCTAAGGCAAGGCTTAGGGAAGTAATGCATACTTGTGTTTCCATTATTTTTAAAATTATTTGGAAATAGGCTGTTTTTTGAATTGGTCTGCTTGTCAGATCAAGAACTGGATTTGCAATTTGCATATAGACATCTTTGCTGATGTATGTTTTTTCCAACAGTACCGGCTCCTTTTGATGAGACAGAAACCATTTGGTTAGATAGCTAAGACACACCCAATCCTTTTTGCCTTTTATTTTTTTTAATTGAATGCAAATGAACCTAAGCCACACTGCAAACTTTAATAAATTAAGTTGAAAAGGATGCAAGGATGGAATCACACTACATAGAGTATTTATTGAAGTCACTAGAATTATTTTGTCTTGCATTTGTGTAATTCTCTAATACTGAATTTGCACGAAGACAGCAATTTTCAGCGTTCTGTTGTGTAATAACTGCATTTGTTCCTCTTTTCAGATATTGTGGATGGAAGTGACCTGAAGCAATTTTTTGAGAACAATTATTCTCAAATTTATTTTATATTCTATGAAAACTTCATAACACTGGAAAATAGCTTGAAACAAAAAGGTAAGTTTTACAGTTTTGCTGGCAATTGAGTCGGTTTTCCCTAACTGTTCTCAAAAGCATTCTATTGGAGCCTTTCTAATGATTATATGGTCCACAATTATCTATATTTGCATTAACAGTTTCAAGAGTACAGTATTAGTATTCATAATTTTAATTTTATTATATCAGAAGAGACAAGCATGAGACGAGACATTGCTCTCTGAAACGTCATAAGTAACTGAAAAGAACTCCAAATACATTCTTATGGCTGTGTCATTTCAGCACAAAAATCAGTTGTTTTACAGTTATAGACGTGTCCTCTCATCTTGTTTTGAAGTATTGAAGGCCTTCATCCTGTAATTAAGCAGATACCTGTTCAACTGTAACGTTGTCAGTGATCCAGAGAACAAATCCTGATGTCAAAGGTGTGTCGGTAGGAATAGGCCTTTGCTTGGAGATGAGCACAACGACAGTGCTTTGCAGATCTGGAATCCTAGTTGTCCCTCATTCATAATCAAGAGAGAGAGGCACTGGAGTTTGCAAACACCTTGCTGTTTTGATATTAGGTGAAGATGAAGAGAAAGAAACTGAGTGCTACAGCATCTTTGACTTCAGTTGAATAACAACAGCGTAATTTTGCCTCCTGTCTCATACTGTATATTTATGGCAAACAATATTGTTTCTTGTCTTGCAGGGAATAAATCACAAAGGGAGGAGCTGGACTCCATTCTCTTTATTTTTGAAGTAAGTTTTCCATACCATGAAACTAATCTTTATTTTAAATCTCATTGTTATTATATGCTTACTTTCCCTTGTACAATGAAGGGTGAAACGAGGTATCAGTCAGAATGACAGGAGGTGTCCACAACTATACATGGTGAAAGGCAGAAAAGAGCTGGGGTGTGCATTAAGTTTTCAGATACAACAGCAACAACAATAAATATTTTCTAATATTTTATTATGCAATGGAAATGTTGGTTGAATGAATATCCAGAGTAAACAGATTTGATCAAAATTACTTAAAAATTACTCGGTAATATTTCCGTCCTAAGAAACTGAGGATCAACTCTTCGAAAAATGTCCTATTTTTTCAGTAGAATTTGGGAGCACGTGATCCATAGCTGCATAGCCTCTGTTAGGCTAAAGCTGTCAAAATGGTATTTTTCTTTTTTCTTTTTTTTTTAAATAAGTTCTTGCTTCTGTATTTTATGGAGGGCTTGTTCAAAACAACAGTACTTTTTCCCTATGCTTTGTCAGTATGAAGTTCAGTGTTATGTTTATTTTGAATGTGTCACAGCAGGAGTTTGGGCTCTACTCCTTTCACATGGAGGCATCTATTATAATTGCAGTATTTGTCTTAGAGCACAAGGAAAATAAAAGGATAAGAGCTGTCAACTATTGCATATCAGTTTGATCTGAGTGTGTGAAATGTTAATTTGTTTAAATTTTTTTTTGTAAATTCAGTGGAGCATCTTCCTCTTCCTTCCCAGCGTTGGCAGTCACAGTATTTGCAGTGTCTAGGGAGGAAATGTTAGCTAGTTAACTTTTGCATAATCAAATTAGGATGTCTTTAATTTAAAGAAGAGTAAACTGTGATAGATCATTTTCCAAGGGACCTCTTTAATTAGAGTTATGAAATATATATACTATATATATTTGGATGTGAGAAAATATCACTGGGCCAGATGAAAGCCTAACATATAAAGAAGGTTTTATAACACACACCAAAAATCTCAGCATAAGCTCTACCTGTCTCTGATGTCAGAGATCAGGGATGCCTTTAGTTGTTTGGAGTTTTTTTAACAATTCATTAGGTAAATAGTGGGCCTGATTTTTTTCTTAAGGATAAATACACACATCTTCTGATGATTTCTCTTTGTTAATCCAGCTAGTAACTTTTTCTTGGGTCTTGCATCATAGAAATATTATCTTTTGTTTAAATTTTGGGACTTTTTTTTGGTAGATGTTGTAGGAAAAAAACCCAGACTTTCAATGGGACTCTAGAAGTTGAAGTTAAAACGAAGGTTAAATGTTCTCAACTGTTATTCCTCCCTCTAAAAATGGAAACAACAAGCCAACCCAGAAATTTCAGAAGTATATGGCTTCATATTTTTGCTTTAATGTATAGTTTGCAGTTAGAATAATATTTTTACTGACAATAAGAATGATGCTGTTTAACTTAATGTGCCTGTAATACAAAAAACGGCCATGAAAACAATGACATGAAATTCTGGTCTTCTGACTTGTTTGATGTTGCAAGTTCATCTCCCTTCGCTGCTTTAACTACAGGACTTCATTTTCAGACTGAAATTTGAAAATCCAATTGTGTTTTCTGCTACTTATGTTACTAGTAATAGAGTCTGCTTTAGGATCTTGCATGTGGCCTTGTCACAGAACATGAGCTGATGTGTCTGCTAGGACCCTATTTGGGCAGAAAAAATTCTTCTTCCTGCTCCTTCCCCACCCCTAGTGGGGAAGGTATCACCACAGTTACTGAGCAAGGCTGTGCAATTTAGTGAGAGCTCATTAATACACTTACTCTGTGGTCTTGAATAAGTAATTACGTTTCTGTGGCTGTGTCATTGAATGGAAAATAGCTAATGCTTACTCACCTGGTTAAAGTGAATAAATACCCTTTCCTGGGTCTTGAAAACAGGTAGCTAAGAACTATCAGTTTAATACCACTGAAAAACGTCATGAGAACACATTGCATGAAGAAGAAAAAAACCCCATAATTATATATATACGAACAAAATGTCTCCACTTGAGGAGAATTATATTGTAGCCTAGTCATTGACAGTTTTGAGGAAGAAGAACTAGTTTAAGATCTTTATGTGAAATTTCAAGCGATCCGCTTCATGGTGTTTATCTACTGGATAGTAAATTTACAATCCGTTTATAACTCTAACACTTGATAACTTAATGCATTGTAGGAAAAGAGCTTTTTAGAGGGCCTTTTAATGCACAGACCAAGGATACATCCATCTGAACACAGGACAGGAAAAAATGTAAATGCCAAGTAATTAAACATTCATATCGTAAGCCATAGGAAACAGAACTAATTGATTGTTAAGCTTGCCATATTTAATCTGATGTCAGCATGAGCCAGAGGTTTCCCAGGGTTTTCTTCTAATTAGCTAAATAGGTAATTACTTAGGATTGACAAATCCTGAATCCAGGTGCTGAGGGTTAACAGTTTAAAAATCAATAAAAATATTCATGAAAGGAATTGACTTCTGCCTTTTCTGGTAGTCTGGTGGGTATTTTGCTGCTGTTCTTGAGTGACACCTAGTGTGTATATTAAGCAAAAATGCCTTTTCCACAAATCCTCTGAAAACTAAGTTGATTCAATTGTAATTTATTATTGAAGTCTTAATTTTACATATCGGCTATGTAGCTTGGCCACTCAACAATAACATCAAACTACATATCAAAGAAGAAATATTAATCAAAAGGGAGTAATGTTAAAGGTTAACAGTTCATTTTGTAAAGTGCTTTTTTTGCAATTAATATTACAAAGTTCTTAGATCCAGTTTTAGATTCTCCATGGTGCTTTGGCCTTGTCTGTTTCCAAATAGATATTCATGAAATGATGCAGCGACTGCAGTCATGTGTATGTTTTTCCCTCTTTCAGCTAAAAGGCCAAAATGATGTGAAAAACAAATTTGCTTTTCCTCTGGTAAGGCGTAGTTCTCTCCAGATTTGTGGTGTATTTTCAGAATGTGTTAATATTGTTTCTTACATCACTGTTCTCTATGGTTTGAGGACGTTGTTTGTTACAGCTGTCAGCTGACCACTGCGTGTCACAGAGCTCAGGAAAGGTGCACTGCAGTTATGTAGGTTTTCTAGGTTTTGTAAATGCCATCATTTGATTGTGAAAGCTTGTATTTTTTTAATATAATAAAGTATTTTTTTCTTGCAGCATCAAATACTGATTCCTCTGACACTGCAATTTGTTTTTCATCTGTAGTGAAAGAAGAGCAGACTCATGTTTTTCGTGTAATACATAGATCAATTTCCAGGCTCTGTAATTATGCTTTATTAGTTAGCTTTACTGTCAGCCACATGTCTTAGGCTGATGCAGTCATAAAATTCAGTATAATGATTTCACACGTTCACTGTATGATATATTTTATTCTTAGAATTTTCCAGATACTCTTTCTAATGTAGTAAAGCTTCCCAAAGTCACTTCCAATAGCCACAGTTATTGCTAGAAGTTTTTTGGATCCTGTCAGTGGAGTTCAGGTCTCACTGCAGCTTTGTAGATAGCTGGAAAGATGGGTTAGGTATTCCCACCTCCCACACATGGTACCTATGCTGAAAGCTTCTCAGTATTCATTTTTTTTTTTCTTGTCTACTTTTTAACAGTGCACATTAATATAACATAAAGCGCCCTTGTGTTTCACAGGTCATTATCTATAAAAGCATACTGTCTTTTTCTTATAGCTTATACAAAGAAGGTTGTTTAGGAGGTAATCTCTTAATTTCTGTAAATCCGTGTTTTGTGTGGAACTTCTGTTTTCTTGAACTTGGTGAAAATGTGAGTGGTGCGAGACCCTGGGTCCGGACACACAGTAAGCACAATTTTTAATTTTTTTTTAAGAATCATAACTCTGGCAAGGTATCTAATGTAACTTGTACTGGCCTTGCTGTGATTATACTTCCAGACCCTTTTATCTGTCAAGCCTAGACCTCCCCATAAGGCTCTGGCCCCGCTGGGATGTGGAGAGGCTAGCTGGGGATATAAACAGGACAAGGCAGAGCTCTCTGTTTTGACCTTAGAAATGCTGCAGCTGAATTTTAATCTGTCTTTCCTAGGTCTTATTTGGAGTTTCTTGAGTAAGTGGGCAGCAGGTGGATTTAAATACTAAGTGGATGCAAAATAGAATATAAATGTGCTAAGAGCCTCTGCAGTATTTGTATTATACACACTCAAATTCGTGGTCTGCTTTGGCTTTTGTATAACATTTGTCGTTTTTCCAGAGGTGCTAATCAATAAAACGTTAGAACTTGCCCAACCATATTTTGAGCTCTTTATTTTGTGGCAGTAGCTACTGCTTTTAATGCAGTACTGTTATCCTTAGAAGCACAGCTAAATATAAACTACAAATGGCCACCTACTCAGAAGATTAAGATGTGGTATAAATCCATTGACGCATGGATTGCTCTGTATCAGAACGTGAATGTAACCATTACAGAAGCAGCTGTTTTGCCTAAATTTATTACTGCAGATGTGCACAAGTTAGTTGTTCTGCAAGTGGTAATGATAATTCGGTATAGGTTTATAATTGGCTATAGTCTGTTAGGAACTCTTTTGAAAAGTAGATTACAGACCATAGGCAGTAAATACACTGCTTCTGTCAGAGGAACACCTGCTGTGGTGACGTGCGCTGACCCAGCTTAGGAATATACACTTTTTTTGTAGAACTGCCTAGTAACACACATAAATATAATTTTTAAAATGTGTAACTTTGGTTTATTCTGGATTAAGATTGCCGTGGATATTTTAGGTATCAAATTCTTCCACTGCATTATAGAGACGACAGTGTGAATTGGCAATATTGGTTAAGCAGTTTAAAAGAAATCTCCAAGTCAGTGGTGGTTTTTAGCAGGTCATTTTCAGTTTCATGAAAACCTGCATCAGTGAAACTTTCAGGGCTTTAGGATTTATAACTCTTGTAGAAGACTTTAATATTGTGTTGACATTTTTTAAGAATGTGCAAAAGGATGTTCTTTTGTATCTG